CCCCCAGTGTCACCCCCGGTGTCCCCAGAGCCACCCCCGGTGTCACCTGAGCCGCCCCCGCGCCTGTCCTGTGTCACCCGTGGTGTCACCAGGTGTCACCAGGTGTCACCTGCGGTGTCAGCGCGGGGCCAGGGCGGGGGCGGCGCGTCCCCTCCCGGCCCCGGAGGTGACACAGGTGACACAGGTGGCACCCGGTGACAGCTGGGTGGGGGAGGGGTCATTAGCGAGGGCGGTGACACCGGCGGGACCGGTCGGGCCCCACCCCCCGCTGGTGGCGGTGTCGCTGTCGCTGTCACCGGCGACATCGGCGGCTCGGGGACTTCCGGGGTCCGCGAGTGTCACCTGGGGGCTCCTGGGGTGTCACCTGTGTCACCTGGGGGCTCCTGGGGGCTCCTGGGGTGTCACCTGTGTCACCTCAGGTGTCACCTGGGGGCTCCTGGGGTGTCACCTGTGTCACCTGGGGTCTCCTGGGGTGTCACCTGGTGTCACCTGGGGGCTCCTGGGGTGTCACCTGTGTCACCTGGGGGCTCCTGGGGTCTCCTGGGGTGTCACCTCAGGTGTAACCTGGGGGCTCCTGGGGTGTCACCTGTGTCACCTGGGGTCTCCTGGGGTGTCACCTGTGTCACCTGGTGTCACCTGGGGGCTCCTGGGGTGTCACCCGTGTCACCTCCGGGGTCCCCGAGTGTCACCTGGGGGCTCCTGTGTCACCTCAGGTGTCACCTGCGTGCTCCTGGGGGCTCCGCAGGTGTCACCTGTGTCCCCCCCGGTGTCACCCGTGTCCCCTCCTGTCCCCTGCAGTGTCACCTGTGTCCCCTCCGGTGTCACCTGGTGTCACCCGGTGTCCCCTCAGGTGTCCCCGAGGGGGGATTTGGGGACACCTGGCCCGGCCGGTCACACCTGGCCATGCCCCGGGACAGGGGGGGACAGGGGGGAGGGGACAGGTGACACCTGGGGGGACAGGAGGGGACAGGTGACACCTGGGGGGACAGGAGGGGACAGGTGACACCTGGGGGGGACAGGAGGGGACAGGTGACACCTGGGGGGACAGGAGGGGGCACACCTGGGATCAGGCTCGGGATCGGGTCTGGGATGAGGATCAGGCCCAGGACCTGGAGCAGGATCAGGATCAGGATCAGGATCAGGACCTGGATCAGGACCGGGATCAGGATCAGGACCGGGATCAGGATCAGGACCGGGATCAGGACCGGGATCAGGACCAGGACCAGGACCGGGATCAGGACTGAGATCAGGACCGGGATCAGGATCAGGACCGGGATCGGGACCAGGATTGGGACCAGGATCAGGACCGGCTCAGGATCAGGACCGGGATCAGGATCAGGACCGGGCTCAGGATCGGGACCGGGATCAGGATCAGGACCAGGATCAGGATCAGCATCAGGACCGGGCTCAGGATCAGGACCAGGATCAGGATCAGGATCGGGACCAGGATCAGGACCGGGCTCAGGATCAGGACCGGATCAGGATCAGGACCGGGCTCAGGACCAGGGCCGGGCTCAGGATCGGGATCGGGCTCAGGATCAGGACCCGGCTCAGGACCGGGCTCAGGCTCAGGACCGGGATCAGGACCCGGCTCAGGACCGGGACCGGGCTCAGGACCGGGCTCCGGCCGGGGAGGGGCCGCGCCCTTCCCCCTCTCCCTCGGGCGCTTCCCGGGGACATCAAAGCCGCTCCCCCCGCCCTGATCCCGGGGGATCCTCCCGGGGGATCCTCCCACGGCCCCGGCGCCTCCTGACTCACCTCCCCCTCCCCCTCATCCCTACAAATATTCCCGGCCCGGCTCTTCCCGGATCCTGCCCGGGCCCGTCCCTCCGCTCCAGGTGAGTCCCGCTCCGGGGGAATCCCGGGAATTCCCGGGGGGGCTTCTCCGACCCCTCCCCGGGGGGGATTCCCGAAGCTCCCATCCCGTTTTTTAAGGGAAAACCTCCAATTCCCGCTTTTCCCACGGAATTCACGGGTTTTTTTGGGAGAGGAATCCCGGGAATTCCCGGGGGGGCTTCCCCGACCCCTCCCCGGGGGGGATTCCCGAAGTTCCCATCCCGTTTTTCACTGGAAAACCTCCAATTCCCGCTTTTCCCACGGAATTCCCGGGGTTTTTTTTTT